ACAGGGTTTCACCAGGTTGCCTAGGCTGGTCTTGAACTCCTGAGTCAAGCAATCTGCCCACCTCAGCCTCCCAAAGTGCTGGGATTACAGGTGTGAGCTACAGTGCCTGGCTTATGGTTTGGAGTTAATGAGGCAATGTTTAGAAATTTATCCCTCTAAATATTCTAGCCTATTAGAAATTTATAGGCTCTACAGCAGATTCTACTGGAAAGACTATGATTACACAAAAGACTTTCAGTTCTCTTGCTAAAGTTGTGCTGGATAATAGAATTGCTCTAGATTACTTATAGGCTAAACAGAACTATCTGTGCAGTGGCTGATACTTCTTATTGAACATGGAGGAATACATTGGGTATTACAGAGATTCAGTTGCAGGGGATTAACAAACAGGCTGCTTGGTTGAAATGAGTAGACTCTTATTCTAGCTTGTTCTTTGATCTATTTGATTTTTGGTAGCTTGGTTCATGGGGACCTTGGCTAAGGAGCATACTCCAAACTTCTGGGGTTAACCTCCTGATAGTTATAATAGTAGTCTCCCTGGCATACCGTATCTCTCAAAAGTTTTAAGTGTTTGCATATAGCCATCTATAGAATGTCAAATCGTCAACCAGTGCAGTGGCTCATGCCTGTAATCCCAGTACTTTGGAAGGCCGAGGCAGGTGGATTACCTGAGGTCAGAAGTTCAAGACAAGCCTGACCAACAAGGTAAAACCCTGTCTCTACTAAAAATACAAAAATTAGCCAGGCGTGGTGGCAGGTGCCTGTAATCCCAGCCACTTGGAAGGTTGAAACAGGAGAATGGCTTGAACCTGGGAGGTGGAGGTGGTAGTAAGCCACTCCACTCCAGCCTGGGCCACAAAGGAAGACTCCATCTAAAAATAATAATAAGTCAAGTGGGATGGTCTCTCTTGAATTGGAACAAAAACTCAAAGAAATACATGACCATGAGGACACCATACTTATGAATGACGTATCGAGACCAGAAACCCAAAATCTTAACAGAATGGTGCTAAGATCCTAAGTTTTGGTCACACTCTTAGCTAAGTGAGAACCTAACCAAAAGAAAGAAATTTTTTTAATTGTTACAAAACCCAAAATAATTTTAATCTCAATTTGCAACATAATCCACATTTTATATGTCTAGAAACAAAAAAAGTTTTAGCATACAAATGCCTCAGAAAGAATTCAATTTGGTTCAGTGATTTTATAGTCAGAGTACCTAGGACAAAGACATATTTATAATTTTTTGTCCAGGTTTTTAAATAAAAATCAGTAATGTTAAATGGAATACTATCATTTTATAGAGAAATAGTATGAAATTACATTGAGAAGTGAGAATAGTCATTAAACATTAAGATTTTATTAACACCCCAGACAGTATATATTTCTTTACGCTTAAGGAATAGATATTAAACAACCTTGGAGTGAAAAATAGAAGGCAACTTGCTTCAAGTTTGTACCAAGTCAATCAAGCAGAAACCTGAAAAACCTTGTTTTAAGATGAGGGGCATTTATATTTCGAAGACATTTTCTTCCAATGAAAAAATAAAATCAATGTTCCATTATCTTTGCACTTATATAAATGTTTATAAAAAGCATTTAAGACATTGTTTCTCACAGGTGGTTGAATACTGGAATCACCTAGATTAAAAAAAATACTAATCCCTATATAACCCCTACAATTCAGATTTAATTGGTATAAGTTAGAAAAGGAGGAATTTTTTTTTTTTTTGAGACAGAGTCTCACTCTTGTTGCCCAGGCTGGAGTGCAATGGTGCGATCTTGGCTCACCACAACCTCCACCTCCCGAGTTCAAGCAATTCTCCTGCCTCAGTCTCCTGAGTAGCTGGGATTACAGGCATGCACCACCATGCCTGGCCAATTTTTGTATTTTTAGTAGAGACAGGGTTTCTCCATGTTGGTCAGGTTGGTCTCAAACTCTTGACCTCAGGTGATCTGCCCGCCTTGGTCTCCCAAAGTGCTGGGATTATAGGTGTGAGCCACCACATCTGGCCAGAAAGAGAGGAATTTTTAAAGGAAATTATGGGAGGTCATTGTTTTGGGCTAAGCTCATGCACGAGGCCCCAACAGATCACACCAAACTAAAATGGAGCCACTCATGCTAAATGTGAGATAATTAAATTGAAACATTAAAGAAACAGATTCTATTTTGTTTTTCTCTTGAAAACATGAAATTTCAGCACAAGGAGGTCCCCTCTACTCTTACCCTTAGAAAAAAGTAACCTTAAGTCCTTGTTCCCATTTTACAAAATCCATTGTTCTGCTATTTCCCAGTGGGATTTGAGACCAATAAGTAAATTTATGACAGTGACAGAGTGAAATCAATGCCAATCCACAAAAAACCCCAAAATTTGAGAGGTCAATTGAAGGGGGTAACTGTTAAATTAAGTTTTGTCTAAAGCTACCTCCTTTCATCTTTTAAGTTCAGCCTAAAGGCTTCTCTGAACATAGTACACTGTAACCCAGGCCAGGCGCAGTGGCTCATACCTGTAATCCCAGCACTTTGGGAGGCCAAGGCAGGTGGATCACCTGAGGTCAGGAGTTTGAAACCAGCCTGGCCAACACAGTGAAACCCTGTCTCGACTAAAAATACAAAAATTAGCCAGGCATAGTGGTGCATGCCTGTAGCTCCAACTATTCCAGAGGCTAAGGCAGGAGAACTGCTTGAACCTAAGAGGCGGAGGCTGTAGTGAGCCAAGATCACGACACTGTACTCAGCCTGGGCTACAGAGTGAGACTCTGTCTCAAAACAAAAACAAACAAAACAAAAAACTGTAACCTAACTGGATGTGTAAATACGATATAAGCTACTTGAGTACCAATAGTTAAGTTTCAGCCAATCAATTACAGCTAACCGTTCAAAACATCTTCAAATAAGGCAAATGCCAAGCTGTAACCAATCCATCTGTCTGTGTGCTTCAATTCCATATTCTGTATGCCACTTTCCTTTTTCTGTCCATAAATCTTCTTTAGCCATGCATCTGCTGGAAGTCTCTCTGAACCTATTCTTGTTCCAGGGGCTGCCTGATTTGCAAATCATTCTTTGCTCAATTATAAACTCTGTTAAATTTAATTTGTCTTAAGTTTTTAACAGAAGATATTATTAGCTCTATTTTACAAAGGTGAACATTGAAGAATAATGAGATTTAATAAATTATCCATGGTAATAAATCCAGGTAGTGGCAAATCTGAAAATTAAACCTAAACTGTCATCAAAAGACTGATGCTGTTACTATCCCACAAAAAATAGTTGTGATATTGTGAAATATACATTTGTTCTTCATTCCCATTTTCTAGCAGACAACTCCTAAAATTCTTAGAAACTCCAAAGTGTGGTCTTTTTGTATGCTAATGATTGCCTAATAGCTGGTAGCCTGTAGGTGGCTTCAGGATGGGGTCTGGTCACTGGAAAGTCAAGGCAGGATTACAGGGGTGGGCTTCCACCCCCATGCCCCAACCTTCAAGGAGGTGAAAGGGGCCAAAGGTTAAGTTGATAACTAATGGCCAACAGTTTAATGAATTAGGCCTATGTAATGAAGCGTCCATAAAAACCCAAAAGGATGGAGTTTGGAGAGCTTCTGGCCAGCTGAATACAGAGGTTTCCTGGAGGGTGGGTGTAGCCAGGAATGGCATGGAAGCTCCATACTCCCTTCCCATACCTCACCCTATGCATATCTTTATCTACATCCTTTGTAATATCTTTCATAATAAAAAAGTAAACACAAGTGTTTTCCTGAGTTTTGCGAGTTGCTCTATCAGATGAATCTACCCCAAAGAGGAGGTCACAGGAACCCCTGACCAGAGGCCTGGACTTGTTACTGGCATCTGAAGCAGAGTGCAGCCTTAAGAGACTGAGCCCTCAATCTGTGGAATCTGACGCTATCTCCAGGTGGATAGTGTAATAACTAAATTGGAGCCCACCCAGCTGGTATCCACTGCAGAGCTGATTGTTTGCTTGGTGTGTAGGGAAACCCTCCCCACATTTAGTCACAAGAGTCTTCTGTGTTGATTGCTATGGTGTGAGATCCAAGAAAAAATGTGGTTTCAGCTTGTGTTTTTTCCATTCACAGTAGTCTGTAAGGACATCTAGTAGAATGAATCAAGGAATTTACTATGATTAACAAATTTTTCATCAAACTATTGAGAAGAAACTTTTCTTTCTTTTATTTAGTTATTTTTGAGATGGAGTCTCACTGTGTTGCCAGGCTGGAGTGCAGTGGTCCCATCTCGGCTCACTGGAACCTCTGCCTCCCGGGTTCAAGTGATTCTCCTGCCTCAGCCTAGTGAGTAGCTAGGACTAAAGGCATGTGCCACCATGCCCAGGTAATTTTTGTATTTTTAGAAGAGATGAAGTTTCACCATGTTGGCCAGGATGGTCTCGGTCTCCTGATCTTGTGATCACCCTGCCTCGGCCTCCCAAAGTGCTGGGATTACAGGTGTGAGCAACTGCACACAGCTCAGAAGAAACATTTTTGTTTTCTTTTCTTTTTTTTCTTCAATCCTGCTCCTTCTGTATTTAAAAATTTTTTTTAATTTTTTTTTTGAGAAGAAACATTTTTAAAAGTTCAGTGATTAGGCCAGGAGTGGTGGCTCAATCCTGTAATCCCAGCACTTTGGGAGGCCAAGGCAGGGGGTCACCTGAGGCCAGGAGTTTGAGACCAGCCTGGCCAACATGGTGAAACCCTGTCTCTACTAAAAATACAAAATTAGCTGGGCGTGGTGACACATGCCTGCAATCCTAGCTACTTGGAGGCTGAGGCAGGAGAATGACTTGAACCCGGGAGGTGGAGGTTATAGTGAGCTGGGATCACGCCACTGCACTCCAGCCAGTGAGACTCTCATCTCAAAAAAAAAGAAAAAAAAAAAGTTCAGTGATTAAATATACTCCATATTCAGGCAACATTTGTTGGAACATTAGATGAGTAAGTTAAAGTCTAAACACAAAAAAGTCCCAGAGCCAAGGTAATGACATGCCTTACTTCAATATTTCTTCTCTGCACTGCCTCTGTGTGGCAAAACAAGCGATAGCCCACATTTTGATTTCAACTCCTGTGTGGAACTGTTTCCCTCGCATGTCCCATACTCCATGGCTCGGTGTTGCAACTGTCCGATTCTATAGGAGGAGAAAAAAATAACACGGTGAAAAAGAACAAAAATTTTCAATAAATGGAAAGTAAAAATTTCAAATCATTGAATTGGAATATTTCTGATATGCCTTTTTCTCCATACTTACAAACTATGTGTATGATTAAAACATTAACAACAGGCTTTACCCGTCCTCCATACTGGAGCATAGGTGCTGGAAGTACACGTCCAGTTACATGAGCCATTTCATCCCGAACTTTAAATTGAAACTCCTGGACAAATGGATCAGTTTCATAATTTGCACTTCTTACCTATAACAATAGAAAAAGTTTGTAGTTACTATCAAAATTCCCCCAAATCCTCTATTTTAATGTATTAGAACCCTCTTTTTTTCTTCACTGTATCAACAATATGTTTTCCAACAGGTCTGATCAACAGTGCTCTAACTACAGAACAGAGAATCTTAACCTGGGGACCATGGGTCATGAACAGTCTATAGAAATTCCTGGTAATTTATACAAAATATATATGTGTGCATTAGGTTGAATAATACATTTTGGCCTGGCATAGTAGTTCAGGCCTGTGATCTCAGCACTTTGGGAGGCCAAGTTGGAGGACTGCTTGAGCCCAGGAGCTTGAAACCAGTCTGGGCAACATAGTGAGACCCTGTCTTTACAAAAAATTAAAAAATTAGACTGGACGTGGTGGCTTATACATCTGTAATTCCAGCACTTTAAGAGGCTGAGGCAGGAGAATCTCTTGAGCTCAGGAGCTCAAGACGAACCTGGGCAAAAAAGTAAGATCTCATTTCCACAAAAAATAAAAAAAAATAGCCAGGTGTGGTACCATGTGCCTGTGGTCCCAGCTATTTGGGAGCCTGAGGTGAGAGAACTGCTTGAGCCTGGAAGCTCAAGGCTGCAGTGGGCTGTGATTGCACCACTGTACTCCAGCATGGGGGTCAGAGCAAGACTCAGTCTCAAAAGAAAAAAAAAAAAATCCATGAAAATGATAATATAATTTATCTTTTTTTATTTTTTAAAAAGATGGAGTCTTGCTATGTTATTTAGGCTGGCTTTGAACTCCTGGGCTCAAGCCATCTTCCTCTCTCAGCCTCCTGGGTAGCTGAGAATAAAGGCATGCACCACTATGTACTATCCAGCTGAAAATGGTAATTTTGTATGATTGAACCTAATATGCTTTCAGATGGACAAATATCTCAACTAAAAAGAGGTTAAGAACGTCTGATTATAGAGGATCTAAATACATTCTATTAAAATTTATTTTTGTGTAGAGTTTGACAGGAAATATTAAAAATCCTAAGGTTTTTTCCTTAATTATTTGATTTATAATTTATATAAAATTTACTTGACTGTTTTCAGATAAATAGTGCCATATTATAAAATTTATTTAATGGAATACACTTGAGACAGATAAGAAAGCCAGTATGAGTTACAGGTTATAATTTTTATATATTTCCATTCATATAATCAAAGATAAATAACTTAATGTACAGTAATTCAGTGTTGGATCTCACCGAAATTTATGCTTAAAGCATGCTATACAGAATCTCCCCACAAAAAGCAGGAAAATTAATTTTCTTTTCTTTTTCTTTGAGACAGGGTCTCACACTATTGCCCAGTGGCGCAATCACAGCTCTCTGCAACTTCAATCTTCTTAGGCCCAAGTGATCCTCCCACCTCTGCCTCCTGAGTAGCTGGGACTATAGATTCATGAAACATACCCAGCTAATTAAAATATTTTTGGAGAGATGGGGGTCTATGTTGCCCAAGCTGGTCTCGAACTCCTGGGCTCAACTGATCCTCCTGCCTCAGCCTCCCAAAGCGACAGGTGTAAGCTTCATTTTCTAAATTAGGCACCAATGCACCTTTTTTTTAAAAAAAATGAAGTTTCACTCTTGTTGCCCAGGCTGGAGTACAGGTGCACAATCTCAGCTCACTGCAACCTCCGCCTCCTGGGTTCAAGCAATTCTCCTGCCTCAGCCTCCTGAGTAGCTAGCAGCTGGGATTACAGGTGCCTGCCACCAGGCTCGGCTAATTTTTGTATTTTTGGTAGAGATGGGGTTTCACCATGTTGGCCAGGCCGGTCTTGAACTCCTGACCTCAGGTGATCCGCCCCTCTCGGCTCCCAAAGTGCTGGGATTACAGGTGTGAGCAACCACACCCGGCCCATCCAATGCATCTTTTTCAAGCTTATTTGCCATTCATTTCTGCATTTCAGTGTATCCTGTGAAAAGCTTATAACGAATAGCGACGACTAGTATTTACTATGACTTGGTGCATGATGTCGTTGGTGCTAATATGCTTAATGATAAATTTTCACAAGTATTCTATAGCTACGAAAGCAGTTCTTTTATAATCTGTATTTTACAGAGGCTACAACAAAAGCTTAGTAAAGTTAAATGATTGCCAAAAATCACACAGCTAAGTGATGTAGATGGAATCTGAAACCATGTATATTCTGATTCTAGAGTGTCTACTCTTAATTACTACATTATCTTTCCAGATGCTATAAATATAATAATATGATAACAGTAACAGTAAGAAAGTGGAGAAGCTAGACTTCGAACCCATGGTTGTTACACTCCAATTCTGTTTTATTTTTTTAAACTTCTATATGATACTTTCTGAACAGTTAAGCTGTAATAAATGAGAACAGTTAGTTATTGAGACTTTTATAGAGAAAGTAAGAGGTCATAGTTTCTGGAAGATTTTGGGAAAGCTTTTAAAATCTTACAGTAGAATAAGAGAAAAATCCAGGATGAGAACCAGCCTATATTTTTCTAGTTAAATATGATGTAATAACTTTCATTGACTCTTTACAGAAGAGTCAATAAGGAAAAAAAAGGTATTTTTTCTGTAGTTGGCTTACCAAATAAAAGAGCCAGTTTTTAGCCAAAGATTAAATTACTAAGGTTAAAAAATAAATAAAAATAAATTGGTTGGGCATGGTGGCTCATGCCTGTAATCCCAGCACTTTGGGAGGCTGAGGTGGGTGGATCACGAGGTCAGGAGTGGAAGACCAGCCTGGCCAACATGATGAAACCCCATCTCTACTAAAAATACAAAAATTAGCTGGGCATTGTGGTGGGTACCTGTAATCCCAGCTACTTGGGAGGCTGAGGCAGAGAGCTGCTTGAACACAGGAGACAGAGATTGCAATGAACCAAGATCATGCCACTGCACTCCAGCCTGGGTGACAGAGTGAGACTTCATCTCAAAAAAAAAAAAATAATAAATAAATAAAAATTAATTAAAAGAGCCAGTTTTGCACCCCCATTTTCAATAATCTTTAAAATTTCTTTTTGGAAGTGTTATTATGTTGTTTTGGGAAATATGAATATTCCAGGTTTTTTTTCTCCTCGCTTGGGCAGTTAAAATGGTATTCAACAACAGAGCCAGATAAGATTCAGATACCTTTTTATCTTGAGTTTTGCCTAATTGTATGAGTTTTATAAAGTGGTATTGGTAACTCCTTCCTTCCCCTCATTTAGAACAATGAGACAGCATACAGACCTTACATGGTTAAAGCTGTCTTCTGTTTTCTTTCTTTCCTTATCATTTTTTTTTTTTTTTTTTTTTTTTGAGACAGAGTCTCACTTTGTTGTCCAGGCTGGAGTGCAGTGATGCAATCTCAGCTCACTGCAGCCTTTGCCTCCCAGGTTCAAGCGATTCTTGTGTCTTAGCCACATGACTTGCTGGGATTACAGATGCATGCCACCATGCCCTGCTAATTTTTGTATTTTTTAGTAGAGATGGCATTTCGCCATGTTTCCCAGGCTGGTTCCAAACTCCTGGCCTCAGGTGAACCACCCACCTTGGCCTCCCAAACTGCTGGGATTACAGAGCTGAGCCACTAAACCCAGTCAATCTTCCACTTCTTTATTCAGACTGTACAGCTGCCACTCTGATACTGGGGACCAAGCAATCTTGGACTGAGTATTAAGAATTTTAGAATTGCTAGTCATAATTCCTTGACTTTTCCTCTTATCTCCCACCTCTTTCAGGTGGAGGTTCCAGTTTACTAAATTGAAACATTTCTTCTGAAAGGATCCCCTGGATCTACTTAAAAAGCTCAGGATTGGCTGGACGCAGTGGCTCACGCTGGTAAGCCCATCACTTTGGGAGGCCATGGCAGGTGGATCACCTGAGGTCAGGAGTTTGAGACCAGCCCAACAAACACGGAGAAACCCCACCGCTGCTAAAAATACAAAAATTAGCTGGGCATGGTGGCACATGTCTGTAATCCCAGCTACTAGGGAGGCTGAGGCAGGAGAATCGCTTGAACCCAGGAGGTGGAGGTTGCAGTGAGCCGAGATTACGCCATTGCACTCCAGGCTGGGCAACAACAGTGAAACTCTGTCTCAAAACACAAAACAAAACAAAACAAAAAAACACCCCCCCTAAAAACAAACAAAACAAACCCCTTAGGGTTAAATGAGAAGCACCTGACCCTTCTTATATAGCCCACCAAGGCCTGTATCCAGAACAACATTAGATTACTTCCATGATCCCTTTCAATTCTGAGAGTCCATGAAATGGTAATAAGGTATGGGCTGATAAGGACCTGGTTCTCTAGTATTATAGTTCATCCTAATATGTTTTAAATTCCCATTTCTAAGGTTAAATACTAACCAATCTGCTAATTTCCTCTTGTCTATCTGGTGCAGATCTTGCTGTTGCCTTGATCATAGTGGAAGTCTGATTGTCTGTGAGCTTCTTGATACATCGTTGCCCTGCCACAATATTGCAGACCTACAAATGGAAAAAAGTTTTGTACTAGATGTGTGTATCTTTTTTTTTTTTTTCAGCTCTTCCTTAGTGCCAATTAAATGTAAAATAAAAATTAAAAATCAACTTCATTAAATCACTTATTTTTAATATATTAAGTAAAAAAGTAGTAAACAAGACTGCTCTACAGCATGATTATAATTAAGTAAAATGTACACCAGATAAAGAATGGAAGAAGTACAGTATACCAAAATGTTAATAGTTGTTATACTAGAGTGGTAGGATTATGGATGAACTTGTTTCATGTTATTTCATTACAAACAATTTAGAATGAATTAAAACTTATCAACAGTTCACATTCCAAAATGAATGTTACATATGAAGTAAGTTATTGGGCATAAAAGACCCAAAAAGGATGATGAACAATAGGGTATTAATTAGCAGCGTGAAGGTATTACTTCTAGCGGCAGGTAGGTATGTTTCTGCTCCTGCCCAACTTGCAGACAAGGAAGATGCGGGTACTTCAGCTGAAGAGTATACTTTTCTCTAAAATACTGTGCTACTGTTCTCTCCACAGTTTGGCCATTTTCCAACTGTAAAGGAAAGCTGAGAAAAAAAAAAAGTACATATGAACACTTCTTTCCCATTATGAGCCAGAAAAACTCTCAACCCCACTAACTAGAGCAAGCTGCCTCACACCATCACTGCTCTGACAAACTTTTCTTACGTTTGATGACTGGCAGGCCTCCTTGTTACATTACAAACACGGTATTTCCGTCTCATTGTTCCACAATGAGTCACTTCAACCTTCAAACCTGTTCCCAACAGGAAAAACGGAGGTTACAAAACTGTCATATGTAAAATATTTATACTTATAAAGCCTGTTTATTACTATAAAAACTCAATTCTGAACAGACAAAAAAATTCTGTGATACAGGCAATATGATATGAACACCAGATTTTACATATAACATTGCTAATAACAGTCACAATCATGACAGACCTAATGCCAAACCCTACCCCATCAAGCTCCACACATTACAAAATAAAATCGTAAAACTTACAAAGCCCATAGATAAAGGGCCAGAGTCCTTCATTAATTAAAAAACCTTTTTATGATAAATTCAGGTACTTATGCTGGAAGAGGGAAGGAGGAATGAAAGAGGAGTTCCAATAATTCTCAAGGTATTCCATAATTTCAAATTATGTGACATTTACCTAGCCCAGTCATCACATACTGACTGAAGATCACAATTTCATAAAGCTCAAGAAAGAAGCCTTTTAAAGATTTATAAAGTAGGAGAAAAAAATGCCAGGCCTTTTTAACAGAAGTAACGTGACAATTTTATAGAAGTATAATACAGTGACACGGCTCTTTTCCAATACTGTTAAAAATCAAATGTGACCAAAATAATTCCTAAGGTAGGTGATCCCTACACTTTTATGGAATCAGACCCCTTTGAGAATATGATGTAAGCAATAAACTCTCAGCAAAGCACAGACACATAATTTAGCAAGTGATTTTAGGAGTTCTTAGAAACCTGCAGTCCATCTGTGGACTCTACGGATTCAAGGATCCCAGGCCTGCTCTAGAGTGTAAATAAATGGGCTTTAAGCCATTTTGAAGAAAATTCTTCGAGATGAATTTTCTGAAGCAGTGCTGTCAAAGAGAATTTTCTTGAGATGATGGAATGTCCTACATCTATGCTAATATGGTCATCACTAATCACATGTTACTAAGCATAGGAAATGTAGCTTGTGCACCTAAGAAACTGAAATTTTATTTATTTATTTATTTTCTGAGACGGAATCTCACTCTGTTGCCAGGCTGGAGTGCAGTGGTACACTCTCAGCTCACTGCAAACTCTGCCTCCCAGCTTCAAGTGATTCTCCTGCCTCAGCCTCCTGAGTAGCTGGGATTACTGGTGTCCATCACTATGCCCAGCTAATTTTCATATTTTTAGTAGAGATGTGGTTTCACCATGCTGGCCAGGCTGGTCCAGAACTCCTGACCTCAGGTGATCCACTCACCTCGGCCTCCCAAAGTGCTGGGATTACAGGTGAGCTATCGCGTCTGGACTTAATTTTAATTAATTTAAATTTAAGCAGCTACATGTGGTTAGTGGCTACTGCACTGACTAGTGCAATCCTGGAGCTACCTAGAGAAGAGTTAACAGGTACAGAGAGGTCACAGGTAAGCAACTCCTTTCTAAGTTTGGCCTAGACTCCAAAGGATAAAGTCCAAAATGGGGTAGATGAAGGACAACTTTTAGTTCCCTGATAATATTTATGGTTATTACTCTTTGCCATATTTCTCTTTTATACTTGTGATTCCTATACTGCAGTGGTTCTTAGTCAGGGGCCAATCTATAACCCAAGGGACATTTGGCAATGTCTGGAGACATTTTTGATTGGCATGACTGGGGATGCCACAGGTTTCTACTGAGTAGAGGCCAGGGATAGTCAGAAGCATCCTGTAATGCACAGAACAGCCCTATCCCCAATCCCAACAAAGAATTATCCAGCCCAAAATGTCAATACTGCTAAGGCTGAGAATGGCAGCTATGGTAAAACTTATTTTCTTATCTAACTAACTGCAATTAGGTAAGAAAATTAGTACCAAACACAAAGCTCAATCATATAAATGATATTTTCTTCTGATAGATCAGAACAAATTAAGATGTTAAATGGACATGGTATACATCCCTGTACCAGACTGGTATTGGTTTGTTTTTCTTTGGAAGTGTTCTTCCTTGAATCAGTGAGTAGCACTTTTGCATTAAAACTACCTTTATAAAACAAAAATGTCAGATCAATTAGAGAATTACTATGTGTTTGCATTATAAAGGAGACTAGAAAATAAAATACTATCAAGGGAGGACCTTAAAAGAAGAAAATGCTAATAATATGATGTAAACAGGATATAATAATATGTTCAGGGGAGAACACAACAGAAAAGTCTAAAGCAAATTTCTGTTGTTTGTACCACTTAGCAATTTATTTTCAAGTCTTCTCTTGAATTAAAAAAATGTTAATAAGGTTCTCCAAGCCTATATACAAAATAAGCCTTTACTAAAAATAAATTGGCACTTTTATATACATATGGTACTTTTACCATACATGTTTCCTAATATTTCTGCTGTTTAACTACCAAGAATTATTGGATAAAGAAACCACTCCAAAGTTATTGTTTAATATTTAGGTACATGTTCAACTGGAATAAGATGAATATACTAAGAAAGCCTATTCTTTATAGCACACTTTGTGTCAATAATTAACAGCATCAAATTCTTCATACCAGCTAAAAATTAAACCCATAGATACAGAACACAAAACTCTTATTCTCTTGGGTTACTGTAGTAGGAATACGTGATGTACTTTAAAGAGCCTTCTTTGAAAAAAAAAAAAAAAGCCCTACTGTACTTGGAAAAGAATGGAGAAAAAAATAATCAGTTTGTCAATTGGATCCAACCCAGATTTTTCCACCCCCAAACTAGGATCATAAGTACCTAAGAATCAGGCCAAAATCTAGGGGCTAGTGAAAGTTGAAATTTTAAAAAAGTGGACTAGATAATTCTCTGCCCAGGTCCCTCCCCAAACCCTCCATCCAACCAAAAAAACACTTTTGGCTTTAATAAATATTTAACCTATAAACTTGGCTTTACCTTCACTATAACATCAACTTTATTATGCTTTCTAGTCATTTTTTCAGTCATTTCTTTGGGCCCCTGAGCAGTTGAAGTTAAGATCGAGTCCATGCTCTTCGGGCAGCGGTGGAATCCTTGTTCTGTACATCTTGTATTTTCTGTGATAGAGTGGTGATATGAGTTGATTGCATAGTTACCGCAAAGTAATGTATGTGACTTCATGATATCAGAGGTGGTAACTAAGCAGCAACTCCACTGGAAACCATGGCATTTAGATGATCACATATTAATGGGAGGTAATGCACTACCTTCTGATAATGCTAGCTGTGCATTTAATACAGATTATGAAAGGACAATGGTATGATTGCAAAACAGCTACATAAACAGTTTCTTATTTTGGCATTTAAATAACTTGAGATAAAAGGATGCTTATTTTTGAAGCAGTGTGGATATTCCTTTTAATTTTTTATTACAATGACTATTTCCCGGTTACTGAAGGCAAAGAGTGAATGATTACTGGAGCAAGCAGGATGTATTAAACTACTCTAATTGATTGGGGGAACTGAAAGATGTTCAGTGAACAAACTTAAATGCTTCATTCAAACCACAAGCTGAAAATTATCTGCAATAAATAGGTAAAATCTTAAAATAAAAACAACATAATTATTTCTGGCTATTTAGGATCTAACAATATAAATAGAATTTATCCTACTCATGCTGATTAGAGAGTATCAGACTAAGTACATATAAAATATACATTTTAGAACACTATTAAAATTATTTTTTCTTTTTATTTTTGGGCAGCCATAGAGAATGAATTTATTTGAGTTAAATGTACATATGATGCAACAACACTGTACAAATTCAGCTACTAGGTATAAAAGATGAGATCAACAGTCAACTCTGTAATTTACATTAAATAACTATAATTCTATAACAATGCATGAAACAGGCTAGCCCTATATTCATACATTTTCAAAGTACTAAAATAAATAAAACAACTATCATTTCAGAAAAATAAGGAAGCCATTATATTAGAATATGTTCTAAGAATTCTAGTTCTAAAGTAACAAATATTTTTGGAATAAGTTTCCTACTTTTAACAATATTATTAAAGCATTTTCCCATGAGATATTTTTATCCCTTCAGCTACTGAGGGAAAGTATTAACAAAAAATTAGCTGGTAGTGATACTAATTCCATTACTTTGCATTTCTTTCGAATACTACCTAAGATGTTACAGTAATGAATTTAATGTAATATTTTATTTTATAATCGATGTATATTTTTACTGGTGATGTTACATAAACAGATTTTAATTATGCAAAAAAATTTAAGTAAAAGGTTGTTATATCCATGCATTTTCTGGTTAAGTTGTGCTAAATGCTAATTAATTCACCTTTTATCTCTTTGGTGAATTTTACCCGATGAGAATCAGTCAGAGGTCTTGGTTGCTCATCAATATTATGAATATCAAGAACTTCACACATGAACTGAATTACAGGTTGTGCTTTGTAGAAGGCAGTAGCAGAAACTAAGAAGAAAAACACAAATAATACAAATTAATGTTTCCCTAAAAAATTCAGAAACTTCATCTTAGGCTCCATGATAACCACCTATACAGTTAAAATGATCCCTTATGCACATTTATGTACATACAAATTTCCAAAATTAGGCAGTTTTCATTTGGCCTCTGAGGCACAGGTACAGAACAGCCAAATACTCCAGTTTTTATAATCTATCTCTTTCATCATGAGTAACTGATTCATTCCATTCTCTATAGAGAAGTGTTCTGTGTGAGACAAGGCTTGTAAGAGACAAAGAAGGTCGGAGCTCCTTGGTAGCTGAGATAGTTAGGTATTACTTTTTTTTTTTTTTTTTTTTTTTCTTTTTGAGACGGAGTCTTACTCTGCCACCCAGGCTGGAGTGCAGTGGTGCCATCTCAGCTCACTGCAACCTCTGCCTCCCGGGTTCAAGTGATTCTCCTGCCTCAGTACCCCGAGTAGCTGGGATTACAGGCACCTGCCACCAGGCCCGGCTATTTTTTGTATTTTTAGTTGAGATGGGGTTTCACTATATCGGTCAGGCTGGTCTTGATCTCCTGACCTCAGGCGATCCGCCTGCCTCAGCCTCCCAAAATGCAGGGATTACAGGCGTGAACCACCATGCCCGGCCCTTTTTTCTTAACAGAGACAAGGTCTCACTATATTGCCCAGGCTGGTTTCCAACTTATGAACTCAAGCAATCCTCCCACCTCAGCCTCCCCAAAGTGGTGGGATTACAGGTGTCAGCCACCACGCCTGGCCAGTATTATTTCTTAAACAAGGCTTTCTATGTCACCCTAGACTGTCTAATGAGAATTTTCCCTGTCTTGCAATACTTTGAGAAAACAGTGGTATTAGTTATTGGTGCTAATCTAAGGTACAGAGAGTAATATTAAGGGATATCTGCCACCATTATTGAGCAATGGGTAGTTTTTTAGCAGTCAACTAGTATGGTTTCTTAATTGTGGGTTTTGGAACTAGAAGAGCTTCACCAATGGTTAGCAGATCACCATCACTCATTTCTTAGACACATGCTTATTAATGGCTATTACGTGTCATATAGGCACTGGGGATACAACAAAAAGTATAACCATAAGACAATAAGTTACATGTTATCATGTTATTTTTCTACTCCAAAAAACATGCCCACTGTCTGCTCAGCTAAGGGTAAACTTTTTACGTGGTGATCTTTCTCTTGCTTTCCTTGGTTTAGCATTAAATGCCCTCCATAAAATGTCCCTTACCTCTGGGAGGATATTTTCAAAGCTTTAACAGTAGTTATCTCTGGATAAATGTGGGTAGGGAGGCTACTGTAGCTATTTTATTTTCTGCAAAAAATTTTTGGCCTGGCGCAGTGTCTCATGCTTGTAATCCCAGCACTTTGGTATGCAAAGGTGGGCGGATTGCCTGAGCTCAGGAGTTCAAAACCAGCCTGGATAACATGGCAAAACCCCATCTCTACTAAAAATACAAAAAATTAGTTGAGCGTGGTAGCGTGTGCCTGTAATCGCAACTACTCGGGAGGCTGAGGCACAAGAATCGTTTGAACCTGGGAGGTGGAGGTTGTGGTGAGCTGAGATCGTGCCACTGCATTCCAGCCTGGGTGACAGAGTAAGACTCTATCTCAAAAAAAAAAAAAAAAAAAAGTTATCTTGGCTGGGCACAGTGGCTCATGCCTGTAATCCCAACACTTTGGGAAGCCAAGGTGCATGGATCACTTGAAGTTAGGAGTCCAAGACCAGCCTGGCCAACATGGTACAACCCTGTCTTTACTAAAAAATACAAAAATTAGCTGGGTATGGTGGCACACACCTGCAATCCCAGCTACTCGGGAGGCTAAAGCCAGAGAATCGCTTAAACTCATGAGGCAGAGGTTGCAGTGGGCCGAGATTGCACCCACTGCACTCCAGCCTGGGCAACAGAGTGAGAAGTTTCGTCTCAAAAAAAAATTTTTTTTAATTTGTTTTTACTATGAAAAACATTTTTATCTTCATAACTTCATTTTTAGGTACTGAGTGCATACCGTTATTTCCTTCTTTATTACACAAATAATACATGAATATAGTTTCATCATAAAAACTCAAACAATATAGAGAAGACCCTCTCCAGTCTGAACCTCCCTGTTCCAAGTATCTCTAATGAGTCACCATTGTTAGTACTTAGGTATGCATACATCCTCTCCTTTTAATATGCACTTAGATTTGTCAGAAAGGTGATTAAAAAATAAAAATTAATACAATGATAACAATGTAGGAATAACTTTTTTAGATGAAATCAGACGATAAACATTCTATGACTCATTTTATCATTATTTTAAAAATTAACAATTTATCTCAGAGATCTTTTCATGTCAGTACACTCTTTAATTGCTGCACCTTATGCCACAGTATGGGGGCATGATAAGTAAATAGGTACCCCTTTCCCTGTTAATAAAAAAGAACACAAACATTAGAAACACTATACTGAACCTTGTATGTACTAATATGAAACTGTATCATTCTTTCTCAAAGCTACAAGATATCCCATTGTATGGATGTACTTCATGTCACCTAAGGGAGGGTTATGGGTTGTTTTTTACGATTACAAACAATATTCCAAGGTGAATATTCCTGTGTATGTGTGTGTTGTGTATGTATATGTGTGTATTTATTTATGTTTGGTATACATCCATGAGTGCTTCTTATTTATTTATTTTTGAGACAGAGTCTCACTCTGTCACCCAGGCTGGAGTGCAGTGGCATGATCTCGGCTCACTGCAACCTCTGTCTCTCAGGTTCAGGCAATTCTCATGCCTTAGCCTCCCAAGAGCTGGAATTACAGGCATGTACCACCACACCCAGCTAATTTTTGTATTTTTAGTGGAGACGGGGTTTCACCATGTTGGCCAGGCTGGTCGCAAACTCCTGGCCTCAACTGATTTACCCGCCTTGGCCTCCCAAAGTGCTGGGATTACAGGTATGAGCCACCATGCCCGGCCCATGAGTATTTCTGTGGAAAAGACAAGAGAAATCAATACTCACTGCTAAACTTCCATCCAAATAAACTTTAGAAACATTTCCAGTTTCTAACTAATTAAAAAAAAGAGAGAGACACTGTTAAGATTGTAACAGTATTCTAGATACCTTATTCAAATCCATAGTAGTTTTAAATATATAGACATTATATTCTACTGAAAAATGTTAGAATATTGTTGTGCACAAAAAGGAAGGCTGACAGGATACATACCAAATTTAAGTTATATGTTTATATTGTTTAAGTTCTTAAGCATATATTGATCTGGATTAATTTTTTAAAAGTAAATAAAGAAAAATAAATATATAGTGAATAATATGCTTATTTTACCTTTCCTTTAATCCTACAGGTAAAATTTATTTATTGGATTGCTATAACACCAGCATTCACAACTAATGTTTCACATACCACAGAGCTGTAACTACTAAACAAACATGCTAGGATTATTTCTCTTATTTAATCCTCTTCTACTTTTTTCCCCAACTGTTTATGCCACTACACTCTGAATCATTTTACTGCTGACCATCTTCTCTACAGGAAGGTAGGCATTTGAGGTAAAAATTAAATTTAGTAATAAAAAAACTCAAAAAGAATGGGTTGAAATCAGCAAAGAAAATTTTGAATTAGAAGTAAATTTCAATGATCAAATATTGACTTTTCTACCCCTTAGTTGAATTCTTAATATTTAATAAACCTACAAATGTGTATGTATTTTACTCCTTCTTTCCCTTTTACAAGTTAGCTAATTATTATTGAAAAATGTTTACATTTAACATTTAAAAATATATCAATAAGATATGCTACATTAACGTGTTTCAGGAAGTAAGCATATAATCATTTCCAGAGATGGCAGCCCCCAAAAAGCAAGCACTTGAAAAAATTCAGCACTGAAGCAAATGCTTTTTTTTTTCTGAGATGGAGTCTTGCTCTGTCACCCAGATTGGAGCACAGTGACGCAATCTCAGCTCACTGAAACCTCTGCCTCCCAGCTTCAAGTGATTCTTCTGCCTCAGCCTCAACAGTAGCTGGGACTACAAGTGTGCACCACCACACCTGACTAATTTTTGTATTTTCAGTAGAGACAGGGTTTCACCATATTGGCCAGGCTTGTCTCAAACTCCTGACCCAGTGATCTGCCCCCTCGGCCTCCCAAAGTGCTGGGATTACAGGCATGAGCCACCGCACCTGGTAAAAATAATCCCATTGTACCAGGACTAGAAGAATTTCCCTAATCTGATAAAAAATTATTTACCAAAACTGGTATTGCAACCTGGGAGATACATAAAAAAGAAAAAAAAAACCTCAATGGTAAATTCAACTCCATTTTCTAGAAAGTTCCAGCTAGCATAGCAAAGCAAATTAAGAGAATAAAAAGTGAAAAGATTGGAAAGAGAGAAAATAATTACTCTTTACAACGTTGTGTACATAGAAAACTCAGTAAAATCTATGGACAAATTACAGAATTGATAATTAAACAATGTTGCCAGATTTAAGATCTACCTATAAAAATAAAGTATATTCTTATATACTAGCAACTTACTTAAAATGTAATTTAAAAATATACCGCTTACGATCACAACAAAAAACATAAGGCATTTGAGATGAAATCTAAATGAAAGGTGTATAAGACCTATGGAAGTAATAGGTATCTCTATTATTGAAAGATATTAGAGAAGATCAAATAAATGGAGTAATATATCCTATTCATGTAAATTATCCTCAAATTAATCTTCAAATTCAAAGCAATTTCAGTCAAAATATCAACAGGATGTAATCTTCTCTCCCCCTGGAACCTAAGATACTACAATTAACATGAAAGCACAATGAAACAATAATAGCCACAACATTTTTTTTTTTTAGTATCTAGAACAGAGTCTTACTCTGTTGCCCAGGGTGCTGGAGCGCAGTGGCACAATCTCCACTCACTGCAACCTCCACTTCCCAGGTTCAAGCTATTCTGCTGCCTCAGCCTCCTGAGTAGCTGGGATTACAGGCACGCGCCACCAAGCCCAGCTAATTTTTTTTGCATTTTTAGTAATGATGGGGTTTCACCATGTTGGCCAGGCTGGTCTGGAACGCCTCACCTCAGGTCATCCACCTGCTTTGGCCTCCCAAAGTGCTGGGATTACAGGTGTGAGCCACTGCGCCCAGCCAACAATTCTTAAGAATAAGGTCTGCTCTAGCATTCATCAAGATTTGTTATAATCCTATTAGAATAAAGAGACTGTGGCTTGAAAGCCTACCTCATATTATATACATAAATTCTTTTCAGAGAACTAAATATGAAAGGGAAAACTAACATTTATTGAAACGTGTAGAATATCCTTACGATCTGAGAGGTAAGAAAGAATTTCTTAAACATACTACAAAATCTATAAACCATGAAAACTATAAGAAAAAAGACACCATAAATAAAACAACAAAGAAATAAAGCCAAAGATTGATAAAGGGTATGTACAATATGTTTAACAAATGCTTAGTATCTAGACTATGTGAAGAGTTCCTATAAATCAAAATAAAACAATAAAAAGTGGCAAAGGACATGAGCAAACATTTCATAGAAGAGAAAAAGAAATATATATTAAAACAATATCAACCTACTATTTTATACCAATCAAGATTAGAAAAAAACTTTAAGGGTAACACAAGCTGAAAATAAGCCAATAGAAGAATGAAAGCTCTCAGATGGTAGGAACATAATCTGATGAAGTCACTTAGGAAAGGAAGAGGTAATACATAATAAATTGAAAAATGTGTATAATTTTCAACCCAGAACTTCTGTTATAGAATATATACTGTATAGAAATTCCTCATCTGCAAAAGGAGACATGAATAAGAATGCTTATATCCTTTTTATAGCATTGTTTGTAAGAGTAAAAAGAAGGGAAACAGCCTAAATACGTGTCAACATATTTGGATATTTTATACTATAAATTGGATGGATAAATTGTACTATACTCATACAATTAAAATCAATGAGCAGCCACTGGAATTCAGATAAATAAAACTGAGAAAGAATGGGCATTACTTGTGGAGAGTTTAGGGGAAAATGAGATATTATTAACCACTTACACTGGTAGTACCTAGATAAACATAACTAGGGAAAAGAAATTTAGCAAATAGACTATATGTTCAAAACACCAGTGGGATAATATTTCAATTCTAAACATAGTATATCTTTAAATGTATTAAGGTCATTTAAGTTCCATTAAAGTTTTATAGTATACTCTAAAACTCATATATCTTTTATTAGATTTATTCATAACTGACAATTTTTTTTTCTCACTTTGGGAGGCCAAGGTGAGTGGATCACCTGAGGTCAGAAGTTTGAGACTAACCTGGCCAACATGGTGAAACCCTGTCTTTACTAAAAATACAAAAATTAGCTGGGTGTGGTGGCAGGCACCTGTAATCCCGGATACTTAGGAGGCTGAGGTAGGAGAATCGCTTGAACGCAGGAGGAGGAGGTTGCAGTGAGCAGACATGGTGCCACTGCATTCCAGCCTGGGGGACAGAGTTAGACTACATCTCAAACAAACAAACAAACCCCAGAGAATACAGATGCTCCTTGACTGAAAATAGGATCACATTCCAATAAACACAACATAACTTGAAAATATTCTAAGTTGAAAATGCTTTTAATACATCTAAACTACTGAACATTACAGGTAGCTTGGCCTACATTAAATGTGCTCAGAATACTTACATGAGCCTACAGTTGGGCAAAATCATCTGGCAACACAGTACATTGCACAGTATCAGTTGTTTACCCTCCTGATCACATGGCTGACTAGGAGCTGTGGTTCACTGCTGCTGCCCAACATTTTAAGAGAATACTGTACTGTAAATCGCTAGCCTGGGAAAATATCAAAATTCAAAATACAATTTCTACTGAAGATATGCTACTTTTGCATCATCGTAAAGTTGAAAAATCGTTAAGTCAAACCATTCTAAGTAGGGTTCTAGGTTTAACTTTAAAAGAAACTGCTGGCTGGGTGCGGTGGGACGCCAAGGCAGGTGGGTCACGAGGTCAACAGATCGAGACCAGCCTGGCCAACATGATGAAACCACATCTCTACGAAAAGTAGAAAAAAATGGCCGGGCGCGGTGGTTCACGCCTGTAATCCCAGCACTTTGGGAGGCCAAGGGATTGAGACCATCCTGGCCAACATGGTGAAACCCTGTTTCTATTAAAAGTATAAAAAATTAGCTGGGCGTGGTGGTGCGTGCCTGTAGTCCCAACTACTCGGGAGGCTGAGGCAGGAGAAATGCTTGAAACCGGAAAACGGAAGTTGCAGTGAGCCGGGATTGCGCCACTGCACTCCAGCCTGGTGATAGAGCCAGACTCTGTCTAAAAAAAAAAAAAGAAAAAGAAAAAATTAGACAGGTATGGTGGTGTATGCCTGTAATTCCAGCTACTTGGGATGCTGAGGCAGGAGAATCGCTTGAACCAGGGTGGTGGAGATTGCAGTGAGCCAAGAACACTCCACTGCACTCCAGGCTGGTGACGGCGTGAGACTTCCTCTTAAAAAAAAAAAAATAAATTAACAAGCCCCCGGCTTGGGGCCCCCTTCCTTCCCCATGGCGGGACACCTGGCTTCGGATTTTGCCTTCTCGCCCCCTCCAGGTGGTGGAGGTGATGGGCCAGGGGGGCCGGAGACGGGCTGGGTTGATCCTCGGACCTGGCTAAGCTTCCAGGGCCCTCCTGGAGGGCCAGGAATCGGGCCAGGGGTTGGGCCAGGCTCTGAGGTGTGGGGGATTCCCCCGTGCCCCCCACCGTATGAGTTCTGTGGGGGGATGGCATGCTATGGGCCTCAGGTTGGAGTGGGGCTAGTGCCCCAAGGCGGCTTGGAGACCTCTCAGCCTGAGGGTGAAGCAGGAGCCGGGGTGGAGAGCAACTCCGAGTGGGCCTCCCCAGAGCCCTGCACCATCCCCCCTGGTGCCGTGAAGCTGGAGAAGGAGAAGCTGGAACAAAACCCGGAGGAGTCCCAAGACATCAAAGCTCTGCAGAAAGAACTCGAGCAATTTGCCAAGCTCCTAAAGCAGAAGAGGATCACTCTGGGATATACACAGGCCGATGTGGGGCTCACCCTGGGGGTTCTGTTTGGAAAGGTGTTCAGCCAAACGACCATCTGCCGCTTTGAGGCTCTGCAGCTTAGCTTCAAGAACATGTGTAAGCTGCGGCCTTTACTGCAGAAGTGGGTGGAGGAAGCAGATAACAATGAAAATCTTCAGGAGATATGCAAAGCAGAAACCCTCGTGCAGGCCCGAAAGAGAAAGCGAACCAGTATCGAGAACCGAGTGAGAGGCAACCTGGAGAATTTGTTCCTGCAGTGCCCGAAACCCACACTTCAGCAGATCAGCCACATCGCCCAGCAGCTTGGGCTTGAGAAGGATGTGGTCCGTGTGTGGTTCTGTAACCGGCGCCAGAAGGGCAAGCGATCAAGCAGTGACTATGCACAACGAGAGGATTTTGAGGCTGCTGGGTCTCCTTTCTCAGGGGGACCAGTGTCCTTTCCTCTGGCCCCAGGGCCCCATTTTGGTACCCCAGGCTATGGGAGCCCTCACTTCACTGCACTGTACTCCTCGGTCCCTTTCCCTGAGGGGGAAGCCTTCCCCCCGTCTCTGTCCCCACTCTGGGCTCTCCCATGCATTCCAACTGAGGTGCCTGTCCTAGAAATGGGGGACAGGGAGAGAGGAGAAGCTAGGGAAGGAGAACCTGGAGTTTGTGCCAGGGCTTTTAGGATTAAGTTCTTCATTCACTAAGGAAGGGATTGGGAACACAAAGGGTGAGGGCAGGGGAGTTTGGGGCAACTGGTTAAAGGGAAGGTGAAGTTCAATGATGCTCTTGATTTTAATCCCCACATGTATCACTTTTTTCTTAAATAAAGAAGCCTGGGACACAGTAGATAGACACATTTA